ATTCAAACGACTGAAGCCGGGATAAAATTCATAGATTCCGAACACTATGCGTGTTAAAATGATAAGGAACAACTTTTAGTCTAAATTTTCAAGAAATTTGTTCCCTCATTGCAAAAGATAACTGATGACAGAAAAATGGTAACGTGTAGAGAGGACTATAAATCTTCGACGATGACATAACTTAATCGAAGTTTGCCATATTTATAGGAGTTATGAACGATCTTCAAAGCAAATTTATCCATTACAAGGTTCTGGCAACTGTCATTTTGGCAAATACAGCATAAAATATATTTAGCACAATTAAGATTAGGACTTATCTTTTTTCGGGAGAAAATTAAATTAAATTGCAAACTTACGATCATCATTAATATGCTTTATGGTATAGCTGGCAGCGCCCGCGGGCAAGATGAGGCGTATCCTGTGTTCTGATTAGCGGCAAAAAAAAGGCGACAGAAGATAGTCCAAACAGAGAAAAAATCATATGACACTCTTGGGTTTTTTTTGTGTTACAAACGCAGTGGCTTTCTTTCATAGCTCTCGAAATACACAAGTCATTCTTGATTCTTACCTAAACGAAATCTATTTTCTGTATGATAAATCCTTTACTGACCAAGATTGTTCGTGGGGTCAAGATGGCTGAATGAAAGCCTCGTTCTTTTTGATGCGTTTTTATGAGCCTTGACTTCATCTCGGTCCATAAAAACGCAAAAAAAGAACTCGCCCAATATCCAGCCATCTTGACCTCATGCTTGGTCAATAGCGCATTATGTATGTTGTAGATTACCACTTAATGATGTTTGTTCGTTCAATTTGATCTGACCTCAATAAGTGACCTACTTTGCTGTGAGTGTTGCGTGGATTTTCGTAGACAACAATTGTGGTATTCTGTGTGCAGGGCTGTAGCCAGATTTCAGGACAAGACGAGGCAAGTTTCGAGCGCCGAAGGCGCGAGCCGCTAGAGGGGTCTGGGGGCATGCCCCCCAGAAAACTTTGAAATCTAGAGGTTTCGAAATGCTCTTTTAAGGATTTTCCGTGGATTTTTTCCTCAGAAAAGTCAATCTTTAAGAAAAAAAATTAAAAAACGCCAAAATTAAGACGAGGCAATTGCCTTGTCTTGCCTCATTTTAGCTACGGCCCTGGTGTGGCTGGCTGTTTGTCTTTTGTCACGAAACGGACTGGGGCCTATATCTACCGTCAGTGAAAGCCAGCTTTTTGAGAACCATAAAAAAATTTAGGTAAACTATGACAAAAATAAAAATCGCACTCACAATTTGTCTCTTTCTGAATTCTAATTTTCGTCATTTCTGTGGTTCATTTGCTTTTACCATATTCTTTTTATGCTTGATTTCCCTCTAGGCATTTGATACGTGCTTACCACAAGTTTGGCAACAGGGGTAGTTTAAACTTCGCCATCTTATAAAGAAGTATCGAGACCAGCGATGCCTTGAATCAGAAAAGCATCCTTAGCTGACGATATAAGTTATGAGCCCAATAAAACAGTAACTTCACTTGCCTTCTCGTAAATTATCACAAGGCTCCTTTCATCATTAGTGTCTTAATTGCTTTCCGTTTGCTATTCGAGTTCCCAGAGAACTAAATCGTTTACTCACACGACTATCAAATTCGTTTTCACGGTAGCGTTACGAGTGCGAATGGGGTTCTCAACGCAAGAGAAAAACGGATTCTGGAGCTATAAGGAACTATAAGAAACTATTGGAAAATATAGGAAACTTGCTATGGAGACAGGGTCCTCCCTCGTACCACTGATATATACCTACCCCTGACAGCTCATAGTGTTACTAATAGAGTATATTGATGTGTCTGGTCAGCGGATCGAGCCATCTCCCTCTGCAAGAAACATTGGAGTTATCTTTGATCGAGACTTGGAAAGGAATGACAAGGACACATCGAAACCCAGTCGCTAGACATTTTAATTTACCTAATCATTCTAAGCAACATATGGCAATCTGCGGTCTTTCCTTACACTTAGGTAGCACGGAAAGCCGTAAAAATCTTGAACAAAAGCTCATCTTTCAAACCGGCAGTCTAAATCCCACAGGGATCAACGAACGCTTTTCATTCCACTAATTTATTCTTGTTTTTCTCGTTGCCATGTTCCCACCAATAACGTAGCTCCATTTTCTGCCTTTAAAAGCACACACAACCCACAATTCCTCTATTCGCTCCGACGAAGGGCTAACGCTCGAAACGTCAGCTTTTGTAATCGTTACGGTGGCCAATTTACCATTTCAACTTTGTTGATATATCCAAATTATTTCGTTACTCCCACCGACGCAGCCCCAAACAGTTTCTTTCGAAACTATCAGCCTTTATTCAT